ATTATAAATGTGGTCCCTGGGATTTTAAGTTTTCTATTTCAGCCTGCCTTTTTTTATTTAGGTGGTGACTCAGATTAAATAGCTGGTGGTACATCCACCATATAGACTCCATAATGTATTTTGCATTCACATATTAAGCACTCCCCTTAGAGTATGAACTTGCCTCTGGTCTCTGACCTGTTTATGGTACTGAAGTTTTATTTCAAATATTATTCATCTGTTGGTGTTTGAAAATTGCAAAGCCTATTATATAGAAAGGGCTCGAAAACAGTTTTTAATTATAAAGTAAAGTAAAGTAAAGGCCCTCCCGTTGATCGTCGATTTGCTCGAGCGGGCCCAGTAACGTCTCCATTGGAGACTTTGTTGTTAATTATAGGGTAAATTAAAAGTATTTGCAGATTACAGCAAAGTAGAAAGCAATGTGAAACATTTGTGGAATGAACAATAGGAGCTCTCTGAAGCTCACAGAGCAAATTATGCAACTTGTAAAGTACTGTACCTTTGTCATTGAATGTAATTTTGTAAATTACAAAGATATCAGGGATGGTGATTGATGGGCCAAGGAGATATATATATATATAGATAGATAGATAGATAGATAGATAGATATTTTGGCTTTTTTGGGTCACACCCAGCAATGCACAGGAGTTACTCCTGGTTCATACACACAGGAATCACTCCTGGCGATGCTTGGGGGACCATATGGGATGCTGGGAATCGAACCTGGGTCGGCTGTTTGCAAGGCAAACGCCCTACCCGCTGTGCTATTGCTCCAGCCCTGGGCCAAGGATATATTTTCATCATCATTATCTGTCTTCTAGAATTTTAAATTTCCTCCTGGAGAAAGTAAGGAGTCACTTGAAGATAAAGCTTGAAAACAGTGTAAATAAAACTTTGGCCACAAGCTCAATAGAGTTTTATGAATTAGGGCCACTTATATACCTGCTCAACATCAAAGTGAATGTCCTGTGGATAGAACAAACATCAAAGCTGCTTGGGCATTCCTTAGGCTACTAGGAAATAAGGCTAAAACGTTAAAAGGATTTTAAAAAACATTTCAGAATTATCAAATCTGATCTCTTTTAAAGGGGTGGAGGAAGACCTGATAAGATAAGGTTTATCAGCATAGAGGAGAAAGATAGTCTGATTTAAAAGTGAACAAGGAGGGACCAGAGAGATAGTTCATTCTCTGTAGGGCACTTGTCTTGCACTAGCCAACCCTGTTCTATCCCCAGCATCTGATATGGCCCCAGGGCACCAGCAGGAGTGAGTCCTGAGTGCAGAGCCAAGAATTTCCACTGAGTACACCCAAGATATGCGCCCTCCCCCCCCAAAAAAGTGACAAAGGAGCAGCTAACATTCTTATGGGAAATGCATTAAGGGGCTGTAAGTAAGCACAGACCCTTCTTAGTCCCTTGCAACAATTTGACATCTTAATACCTTCAGGGGGCTGGAGCGATAGCACAGCGGGTAGGGCAATTTTGCGTTGCACACGGCCGCCCGGGTTCGATTCCTCTGCCCCTCTCGGAGATCCGGGCAAGCTACCAACACTATCTCACCCGCACGGCAAAGCCTGGCAAGCTCCCCGTGACGTATTCGATATGCCAAACACAGTGACAACAAGTCTCACAATTTGTTTTGAGTCGTTACTGGTACCCGCTCGAGCAAATCATGAACAACGGGACCACAGTGCTACAATGCAATATGTTCAGGAACCTGACATGATAGTAAATAGAATCACTACCTTGTTGACAGACTGAATTATGGCATAATTCAGTATATGTTCAGCTCCATATGTAGAATCATGATTTTAAATATTCTTCTGTAGGGAAATAAACTAATGTAATCTAAGTAAACCCAAGTGTAGAGGCTCCAGGCATGAGTGGAGGCTAGTGTGACTAAAGAGAGGGTATTCATATCTAGGTTACGTAAGGCTTTGTAGACTTATTTCGGAGGCTACACCTGGCAGTGCTGAGGAATTATTCCTGGCTCTATTCTCAGGGACCACATATGGTGCTGGGGATCAAACCAGAGATTAGGCCCATGCCAACTAGGCATCCTGTACTTCAACTATCCTTAACCCCTATATTATTTCTCAGGGCACTGCTTTGTAGACTTTAATGCTAATAATTTTGAATTTTAGCTTAATGTGTTTGAAATCTGTTAGTAAGTTGAGAACGGAGAAAGAATGAACAACTAATGTAAATGACACACACAAACTAAAGGCACAATATTGTGCTTTGGACAATAATATAGATTTCCAGAATGAAAGAAACCTAGAGTAGTACTGATTAAAATTATTAAATTGAAATTTTTTGTTTTATAAATGGGGAGGATGCAGGGCTGCAGGCATAGTGCAGCCAGTAAGGCACTTGCCTTGTATGCAGCTGACCTGGGTTTCATCCCTGGCACCCCATATTAACCCCTGAGCCCTCCAGGAGTGATGGGGGTGTTAAAGTTTTTAAAAGAAAGTTGTGTGGTGCGGCATACTGTGTGCTGGCATGGAAAATTAGCTCAAAGGATTTCACAAGCATGTTTTACATGCAGGAACCCCTGGTAAGATCTTGAGCACTGGCTGGTTGAAGGCCCCCTCACCCCCTCAAAAAAAAAAAGAATATTGTGATTTTCGAATTAAATAAGAGCTGTGTGCACAAGGTCTTGAGACTTATCAACAGATAAATGCACCTTTTTGTTTTTAAAATCAAGTTCTCCATGCAATATTGAGCTGCATTTCATGTAGTTTTATTTATTTTTAAAAAATACGTTTAAAATAAAATGCTAGTTATAGTCCACTTAATTTACCCTAGTGCATCAAAAGTTGAAATTTGAAAGCCACTGTGAATCCAGTATAGCCCATTAGTTTTGCTTGCATTATTGGCATGTAAGACATACAGGATTGAAAATGACCAAACAAGAATTCAGGTTATCACCAGGTTTTCTAAGACTGCATCTGTATTCAAAATCAAAACCAATATTCAGTATGATAGTGATATTCCTAATGGGAAAAAATGAAAATAAGTGCCTAACTGGAACATGTTGCCAGTTATCCCTATTATAAAATGTTAAGGCCTGTAAATTTCAGAGAACTTGTAAAATGCCACCATAATTTTTTAAATTAATGGTCAATAATTGATAAAATACACAAACTGCTTGCTAAAATTAATAGCTGAAATCTTTTGAGCTATAGATAGAAAAGTCATTTATAGGTAGCCTGGTGGTCTTTAAATTGTCACCTTGGAATTAACAAAATGGCATTTCCATATTTTTAGCAATTTACTATCTTTTTGGTATGAGTTTATTTTGAAAGAGAGCTTGTGGGAGGAGTGAAGAATAAATGAAACATAAAGGTCAGTGGGAGGTAATGATGAAAATGGCCCTTTTAATCCTATTATATGAATTTTAGCCCTTCTGTTCTCCAAGCTTGTGACCTTTGGAAAGATGCTTTCCTGTGCATTACTTTTTTCATTTACAAATAGAAATAATATTTATATCATAGCCTTAATGTTAAGATTCAAGGAGGCATGTTGGCATAACTTGTGTTTAACATATTTTTTAGTAAATACTAGTTTTCTTTGTTCTTTAGGAAGGAATTTAAGTGGAAATAATATTGCTAGAATAAACGGGGTTGGAGAGTATAGCAAAATGCAAAAAGAAGGGTGCAGATATTTTTCTCGATTACTTACTTCTCGGAAGATGATGGTGTGATTCTTTTTATTCTTAATTTCTTTTTGCATAGGTAGGTAATAAATAGGTTGGCTTTCCTTACCTCCACTATCTTTCCCCTTTTCATTGTATAATTGAAACCCAAGCACAAAAATTTGTAAGTCTACAGCTGTACCTCATGGTGTCTCACTGATAAAAATTTAAAAAATAAAAATAAAAAAAAGAGGGAAGATTACCCAGTTGATGAAAGTCAAGTTTTTGAGGCCAGGAATTATTTACCTACACAGTTGATTCTAGTATTTTAGTTTCTAGTACTCTAGTTTGCTTTAAAGCAAAGCCTTTTCTGAAGGTACTACCAGCCCTGGGTCCAGTTTGCAAGTATATTAGGTGACTGATGTTGTTGATTATAATTATAGATATTGCCTTGCCAGTGTAGTGAGCACTTCTTTGATTTAACCCAGACATTCTAGGAACAAAGTTACAGAGAGTGAGATGGAAAGATAGAATTGAAATTTTAAGTGACTTAAAAAATAGCATTATTGAGATAAAATTAATATAAAATTTGCTCTTTAAATTTATGATTCAGTGGTTTTTGGTAGATTCAGAGTTATGTAATTGTCACCATTATCTAATTTGAGAATATTTGCATCACCCCCTAAGAAAACCGTATACCTATTAACAGTCATTCTCCACCTTCTTATCACCACCCCACCTCTTCACCCCATTTCCTGTAGTGTTTCGGTGCCTTGCAGCCACGAATGTGCTTTTTTATCTTTAGATTTGCTAATTCTACTTGTTCAGTATAAATGGAGCTTATATAATATAGTTTGTGCCTGATTTACTTGTGTAGTGTTTTAAGTCTGTCTGCGTGATAACATGTTTCAGTACTACTTTTAAAAAATTGCGTATAACACTATATATGTGAACACACAATTTTGATGACCTATTCATTGGTATTGGACATTTGAATGTGAGAACATATGATTTCACTTCCCTTATTAACTAGGATAGACTACTGGTCATATGCTGACTCTGTGTTTGACATTTGAAGATATTATGAACTTCTCCAAACTGATCACATCATTTTATCTTGCTAGATTTTAAATCACCTGGTTTTGGAGTACTTATGTGTTTTATTTTATATATATATATATATATATATATATATATATATATATATATATGGGGACCATTGTTAAATTGAGTGGTTTGAATTGATGGGGGGAAGGCCCACCTGGAGAAGTTTTCAAGCTTGGAAGTACTGTTTTAAAAAAAGCATTGTTGGGATTATTAATATTAACTTTGGCTCTTTTTTCTCCCCAATTTTGTTTTTGCAGTTTTATCTCCAAGACACTAAAAGTAGTAATGGTACCTTTATAAATAGCCAGAGATTAAGTCGAGGCTCTGAAGAAAGCCCACCATGTGAAATTCTTTCTGGTGACATTATCCAGTTTGGGGTAGATGTGACGGAGAACACACGGAAAGGTACGGGTATGGATCGATTTTTCCTATTATTTATCCCTCTTTGTTTATTTTCTTAGTACTATTGTTATTTAATGTTACAGAACAGTTTGTGCTTGGAAAAGTGTCTTAGGTACAGTATTATGTGTGGTGAAATGCTGAGTTTTTCATTCCATTGCTTTTCTAAAATTATGAAGTTTACGTAATTTAATTTTTTAATCACAGTATGAAAACACAGTATGTCAGTAAAGAGTTTATATCAATGACAGTATACCTAATGAATATCCTGGAGTATTTGTTTTTAAGAAACTTGTAAGCAAATAAGCCTGTTTTTTTTTAATTTTATGGTTTTATTAAGAATCCAGGATGGGGGCCTGGAGCGATAGCACAGCTGGTAGGGCATTTGCCTTGCATGCAGCCGACCCAGGTTCAATTCCCAGCATCCCATATTGTCCCCCGAGCACCTCCAGAAGTGATTCCTGAGTGCAGAGCCAGGATTAGCCCATGTGCATCACCGGGTGGACCCAAAAAGCAAAAAAAGAAAAAAGAATCCAGGATGTTAATTGTCCCCTGCCTCCTTCCTCCTTCCCCTTCCCGCCCTTTCCTCCCTTCCGTCTCTTTCCTCCCCTCTCCGCCTCTCCCCTTTTCTTCCCTCCTCTGCTTATTGCCTTGTGGTCAACGGGTGAATGCTGTAGTCCCAGGCATTACTTTTCTTATGCTGTCCTGTGTAAGAAAAGATGAGGACAAATGTCTTCCTGAGTAACTCTTTTTTTATATTGAAAGAATAACTCTCCTAGCAGGTTTCTCTTTTTATTTTACTGATCACATAGTTAGGTCATACACATGTTAACCTGTAACAGCAAAGGATCCTGGGAAGTTACTTATTTGGCATATGGGAACAAAAGATACATGATTAACATCCATCAGTTAAGATTTATTTCTTCCAGTTGTGCATACATTGTTGCCTCACACAGAGTTCTATTGGTAGCTAATAAGTACTATTAGCTACACAATAGTACTATCATAAACAGGGAATTTTATATATCTTTGAATTAGTAGTTCTTAAGTAAATGGAGGTTATTTATATCTTTCATAGCTATGCCTAAATCTATCTGGTTTATTTTTCTGTCTTATGTGAACCATTAAATTATGTGACTGAATCATGAAATTAAATGAGTAGGAATCATAAGTGTGCAGTTCCACTGTCATTGTTTAATATGGGTAACAAGCAATTAGTAAGTTCCTCTTTCTGTTTCTCTGAACATACTCTGGTGAAATTATAAATCATTTTTCTCTAATATTTTGCACAGTAGAAATAGAGATGGGGGTGATGGTGGTGATGTTTGTGTGTGTGTGTGTGTGTGAGTGTGTGTGTGTGTTGTATATGTTTTTATACTTTCACTAGTGGTACAACTACAGTTATTATTTTTACTGAAGTTTGTTGACCTCAAGGAGTTAAGTTTTGTTTCGTTTTGTTCTTTTGGGTCCCATTGTCCTGTAAGCCAGGCTTACTCCTGGCTCTGTGCTCAGGGATCACTCTTTATAAGGCATAGGGAACCATATGTGGAACTGGGGTTGACTAGGTTGACTGTGTACAAGAGAAGTGCCTTACCTCTTACACTATCTCTTGGGCCCCTCTTGCTCAGTTTTTGTTTTTGTTTTGGGAAGTTAGGTTTTGATGTTTGAATTTGAGTAGGGCAAGAATTTTAGGAATTTCCATCTGTGGTTGTAAAAGTAGAAAAGAAAATATGTATTTTCATGCAGAAATACTGGGTACTAGTTAAGAAGATAACTCACCTTATCTAAGACCATTCTGAGAACAGTTGTAGTGACACACTACCTTACTCTGCTGTTGCCGCATACACCTCTCCTATTACTTAGTCATTCAACAAATATTTAGTGAGTGCCAGCCATGAAGAGTCCACAGAAAAAATGGGGAATTTAACTGTTTTCTCTCCTAGGAATGCATGTCTGTTCAACTTTTTTTTTCCCCACAGAGAATAAATTCTTTGCTTGGATAAAAATTTATAATTCTGGCTGTGAGACTGTAGTTTAAGTGGTAAAATACATACTTCACATTGATTAGGTTTGATCCCTGGCACTGGAAAGTTTTGAAGAAAAAAAAGACCCACAATGGAGAAACTTGACCCTTGGAAGAACTCAGAGAAAGAAAGTGGGAGGGAGGAGAAATAACATGCAGAAACTAATGAAATGAACAAAAATTCTTGAAGGGAATCAGCAAACCCAAAATGCTAGTTCTTGATATTTTTTGGTTGTTGTTTTGTTTTTGGGTCATACCTGAGATTGCACAGGGCTTATTCCTAGCTCTGGGGTCATTATAAATACAAAGATATTTGGGATGTTCTTTCATGGTACAGTCATAGCCAGAATACCTGGGAGTGGGGGTTGAGTTGAAATGCATGAAATTGTTAACCTTGTAACTATAAAAGTCTTTGACCATTAGGTTTTGCTTTCTTAATCCTACAGACTCCATCTCAGTTTTGATGAGAAAGAAATGTGGACACAAAGTGTTGATCATTTGATTGTATGTAGGAACATTGAAAAAATCATTTTAAGGGATTAAAAATTTGTTAAAGATTGACCACAACAGTTTTTCACAGCTGAGTTTGATATCATTAAAAATAACGTTAAAACAAATCCAGATATACAATATGATATTAGAGGAGGGAAGTTGTCATTCTGAAGGAGATGGAAAACTGAAAATAGACATAAAGAGCCTGCCTTTATGAGGCAGGTTGTAGGGAGGAAGGGAAATGACATTGGTGGAGAAAAGAGGTCACTAGAGAAGGGATTGATTTTAGAACATAGTATGGCTGAAAAAAGATTCAGAGTCTTGTGAACCAGTCTTACCACAATAAAAAATAAATAAATAAATAAAGGCAAGTTCAGTGTTATTTATATAATCTAACCATATAGTATAAGAAGGAAAATGCTAGCTAATTTCACTTGTGACTACAGATAAAATATTCTCATTAAAGTATTAGTAGACTAAGTTCAAAGAAATAAAATGAGGAAATTAGGTATTATTCCAGACCTGGGAAGATGATTCAATATTTGGGAAGTCTCAAATTATCTATAAAGGTCAAGCTGAAAATCTTGCTATTGTATAGCCAGTAGGTGTTAAGGAGTTGTTTGATCAATTTTAGGTTATTTCTAATAAAAATCCTAAATAAATGGAAAGAAAATAAGAAATAAAATTCTCATTAAACAAAATAAAAACAGCAAAACTGTTCTGTGTAGATATAAGAATGTATACATGAGTGATACACCTTAAGTATCTCAAGCAAATTGCAAAAGAATGCATGTGAATTCGTGCAAACAGTACTACTTAGTGTTTTGAGTATAGTTGATTAAAAAATTGTGAGAATCTATGAATTTAGCTTTGTAAAAGTATGTGTAGTCTAAAAGTCAGCGGACACAAAATTTAAAAAATTGTTCTTTTGGGGCTGGAGCGATAGCACAGTGGGTAGGGCATTTGCCTTGCATGCAGCCAACATGACCGACACAGGTTCGATTCCCAGCATCCCATATGGTCCCCCGAGCACCACCAGGAGCAATTCCTGAGTGCATGATCCAGGAGTAACCCCTGAGCATCGCCGGGTGTGACCCAAAAAGCAAAAAAAAAAAAAAAAAGTTCTTTGATGACCTGTTACAAGAATTAATGAGTATATGAATTATAAGTATTTTTGTAAGCTTGTTGAATGAGAAATTCAATTATTTTGTATTTTAAAAGTTTCATCTATATATATATGATGGAGGGTAATATGATTATATGGATGGGGATATGGAAGAATGTTAAAAAGGGCTGTGCTAATAAAACAACAATAAAAAAAATCCCTCCAGTGTACATAATATTTATATACATATATATACATATATACACACACATCAGGAAAAAATAAAGTATATGCACACACATAAGATTCAGAATTTTATTTAAACTGCAATACATGTTTAATGTTATTAAACATATTTTAGTAACTTTTGCAATTTGGAGCGATAGCACAGCGGTAGGGTGTTTGCCTTACAAGCGGCCAACATGGCCGACCCGAGTTCGATTCCTCCGCCCCTCTCGGAGAGCCCGGCAAGCTACCGAGAGTATTCGATATGCCAGACACAGTAACAACAAAGTCTCCAATGGAGACGTTACTGGGCCCGCTTGAGCAAATCGACGATCAACGGGAGGGCCTTTACCTTTTTACCTTTACCTTGCAATCTTTCCAGAATAAGTTCATTTTTATATTTAACTTTTCACACTGTGACTTCAGGGAGAAAATTCACTGTTCAGTACTAAAGAAACGATCTGCTCTATAGATAATAAATATCGTAAACAAATAGGATAACATTCTAGTCAATTAAATTAATTTAATTATTTTTCATTTTGGGGCCACACATGGAGGTACTCAAGTCTTACTCATGGTTCTGCATTTAGGAATCACTCCTGGTACGGCTTAGGGGGTACCAGGATCGAACCTATGTCTGCTGCATGCAAGACAAGCACCTTACCTGTTGTACTATCTCTCTGGCCCCAAAGGGAAGTAAAAAAACCAGCCTATTGTAGTCTTCTGGATTGAAGTCTTAAAAGCCCAATTGCTGACCAGTCTTCTGTTCCCAAACCTACTAACTGCTTCAAAATAACTGAAGTTTTCTGAGCTTGGGACTAATTAGTTTTACAAACTTCATGTTTCACCCAAGTCCACTTCATCTATTTCCTTTTATAACTTGAACCGCTGTTGAACAAAGAGTCTGTTTTGAGCAGGGTCAATGGTGTCTTCCTTGAACTTTACAATCAGATGCTACTGAATTACTTTCATTCTTCAAACTGAAGAAATGTTTATAAAATGCTCATCTAAAGACCCAGGTACTTTTTAATGTTATTTAAGCCCATGGCAATAATTTTCGTTATTAAGTCTTCTCTCTTCACCTTTAAATTTGAACTTTTATCTCTATACCTTTAGTTCCATTATGTGCTTCTTACCTGGAAACCATCCTTTGATATTTCAAAAGTC